GTGGATTAGGGAACATAGCAATTTCTATTTCACTTATTTTGAAATACATACATTTCCTTTATTCTATTTGTCCAACTAGTAATAACAAAAACAACTAAATGAAAATCAGGAACAAAGAACATAATAAAATGATAATACCATAGTATAATAATACAATTTTTAATAATGAAAAGTAAGAAACATCATTATGGTGCAATTATTTTTAGATTAAAAATCTCTGGCCACTGAATATTAGCTAGAATTTATGGAAGGTAACTGACCAATTGAATCTGAAAGCATGATCTAAAATGAACTATGCTGATAGGTATATGATTATCTCATAACTGTGATTATTTGAAGTTCTATGGTTGCATTCATCAATTCAATGACAGTTGTATAATGATTTTATCTGCCTACATGAAAAGGTCAGCATGGAAGAAGTATGGTCTGAATATACATTGCCAACTTCCTCCATAATGTGAAACCTTCACAGTATACATATAGCATAGCTGCATGCATAGTGGAGGAAGATTCAGAATAGAACATCAAATAGATGAGTACTGTAATGCCATTTGTACTGCATTAATCCTGTTGAATTCCACTGAATAGATATGCATTTTATGAAGTGGATGGTAGTTTGCGTCACCTTTCTAAGCCACTAGTTAGATCACGTACATATAGATTGCAGTGTATAGTGTGTGTGTGTGTGTGTGTGTGTGTGTGTGTGTGTACTGTATGTATGTTATCCGTTACCAGATAATAATGCATCTTACACTAATTGAAAAAAAACAGGTTTTTGCTTTGTTTTCTTTTCAATCTTTTCTTTTAAACTCAGTCACTTCAACTCAGAAGTCCTTGTTCCAGTCAAAGCCACTAATCACACCTATTTTGGTAGTGGGCAAACTGGTGTTTGCTTGGTAATGTGATTGAAAAAACTGCCATAAGGATAAAACATATACGTTTACAGGTAAGTGTATGCATAAAATTCACATTCACATTCACTTTTCTAGCGAAGAATAGTGAAGCATTTAAATGTTGCTACCATTTCATGATCTCCCAGTTATGCTGAGTGCAGAGCAAGGAAATGTCTTTATTCTCATGTCAGCAGGTTTGTTCATGGAAAAGGGTGCACCCCAGCATTCAATAGGGAGATGTCATGACTACTTTGCCCAAGCTGGCAGAGTAGGGAGGCAGGAAAAACCAAACTTTAATGATCAGCTTGCTTTACAGATACCCGGAGACTATATAAGGTGCACTGTACCAAAAGATGCAAGTCTCACTACCTCAGGCTATAGGGAAATGCTATTCATAGTTTCATTTAAATGAGAGATCAATATATATAACCCTAACCCTATTCTCATATATGTTTCCCAATGAGTCTCTAATTGCTCCAAAAGCATAATACCTTTTTCTTTATCATTAATACACCCCTTCTAAAATGGAGGGTGTATTTTTCCCCAAGCTGTGAAGATACTCTCTCTCCAATGATACACATTTCTATATACTAAAGAACATCTTAGTAATCTTCATAATAAAAAAACAATCAACCAAAGGCCATGTCAGACTCAAAAACCAAGAATGACACATGGTGATTCTTCCAAGCTGAGTTCTTTATTGTTTCCACACCTATAGATAGAATCTTACCAGATTAAACACTCTACTGCAGGGGTCCCCACCCTTGGTCACTTTATGACTTGTGGACTTCAACTCCCAGAATTCCTCAGCCAGCCATGCTGGCTGAGGAATTCTGGGTGTTGAAGTCCACAAGTCATAAAATGGCCAAAGGTAGGGACCCCTGCTCTACTGTCTTCACCCTCTTTCTCTCACACAAAATATCTGGAATATTTATTTCACTGGAATACACCTCTCCCTCCTTGAAATCCAGCTTGCTACATTCCATCACAGGCCATAAAATTATCTAGGATGTGCTTTCTTCCAGATAGCTACCATGAACTGACAAATTGTTATTTTCCCATTATCTAATCATATTTTATATTATATATTGTTTTCACCACTTATAGTCTCAATAGTAAGAATGTTTATATATAGATGTTACTATTTTAATATATTGTATTAGCAACACTAGCTTTTAGATATCTTTTATAGATTTCACCAAAATAATGGTAATTTTTATTGATGTTATTGTTTGCTCTTCTATGACCCAATGAAATATAGGTTAAAAAAAGAAATGGATTTTTATGAGATTTTGTAATTATCATTTTAATAACAGCATAAATAAGTATAGCAACTCTGCTAATCAGTTTAGTTTAATAAGCAAATGAAAACAGATGCTTGAACCTTCAGTTGGAAATTATTATATTTTGCATAAAACTATATAGTTTTTGCCAAGTTAGTTCAGTATCTGTTAGGTAAGAATGACAAATCTCTACAAATCTTTTTTTCAAAAGAAACCGAGATTTCCTGGAAAACGTTTTTCCAATAAAATGCACATCAAATGAGTTCTACTTTTCACTCTCTTTTCAGAAGGGCTGCTTGATACTCCTATTGAAAACTTACAAGTCAAATATCAACCGTGCAGAAAGGAAAGGCCTGTCTTGAACGATGTCATGGAGAACTGTGTTCCTAGATGCCCACATCCGATATTTTCTTTAAAGCACATCCATAGAACTGAGAGTTCATATGGTTGAACTATCTTGAAATATGAAGAGGATTGTTTCACATAAACTGGAAAACAATGTTTAAAGAAAGGTTCTGTAATCAGTGGATAAACATGATCAAACTGTTTCTTTTTCCTTTATCGGGAGGGCTGGGATACATGTTTGTACATCTGTGCTTGTTCAGTAGAATAAAGAGCAATTGCAAGGTGTGCAGTGTTGTTTTTGCATTGAGTCCCTTAGAGCACTTGGCCGAAGCAGAAAATATCCCATGCTGGCTTGCTTGTGGCCCTTTAATTCATGATACAGAAGCAATTTGCTAAGAATGCTTGTTGACATTGCTATTTGTTCCAGCACAGTTTGCATGAGTTGATTCTACAGGAAGGAAGGGAGCACCATCTCTACTTCATTCATTAATTCCTACTTGTCAGTTCTGGAATAGTACATGTAATATACATTGTTCAATAAAATTTGTTGGTTCTTAAATGCCTGATAGTTATTTATTGATAGACTAATACAGGTCACCAATCTCTTAGTGTCAGATTTGTTTCTTGCAGTAGTTTATCTGCAAACGGCTATTTTGCATTTCTAAAAATAACTAGTAGTGGACAAAAAATAAAAAGTCTTACAATAGGCTATGAGATCTAAGAAACAGACACCATTATTTATTTATATTGCTTTCTTAATCTTGCTAGAATCCAGATTTTGCTTGGATAGAACTTATGCAAAAGTACATCTTCCATTTTTTTAAAAAAATGCTATCAGAACATCTGAATTCAAGAGGTTAATTTTAAATATAAGGGAGTCTTGGAGCGCTACAACAAATAAATTAGTACAACCACTTCTTTTTTTCTAAAGCTTGATCTATAGAAATGTTTCAAAGCTAGCTTTTTAAATAAAAGCAGAAACTGTTCTAATCTGTGCAACTGGCATAATATGCAACTCGTTGACTGATATGATCACGAATTGTTTCCACTTTCTTTTCCAGGCCTTCCAACCTGGCTGACTTGAGGATGAATTCATTGTTACTCTCCTGTAGCTCTGTTTCTAAAGCTGAGGAATGAAACAGAAATAGGTTAGATGCAAAGAAACTTTTTTCCCTTTCTAATTCATTATAATATTATACAGTATAGTGACCGTTCAACCTGTTCTGTTTTTCTAGCATCTTTTAACATGTATTGTTTTCATGCAATGCCTGTCCTATCCAATAGGGCAGAACTTCCCAACCTTTCCGGGTTGGTGGCCCGGAGAGAAAGGGAGGAGCAGGGAAATGTACACGTGTGTGTGCATGCGCACACAAACAAGCACAAACACTGGCAGCAGTGCTACCACCCCTGTGCATGCGCAAACGGGGCCGCTAGCACCCATGCGGTGACACTAGCGCAAGTGGGGAGAGTGCGTGCACATGTGCGTGCACTTGCCAGCCATTCCCACGGACCGGTGGCCACTTGGCCACGGACTGGTACCAGACCACAGACCACAGGTTGGGGGACCACTGCAATAAGGCACCCCATATGCAAAAAATATAGGCTGTACATGCTTGCCCCCTCCCTCTTATCCTTTGTGGATCTGTTCCACCACCTCAGTCCCTAACTAACCTGTATTGAATGTTAAATGAAAATATTTGTTTGAAAGACAATGAAATTCTATGAATAGGCTACGCTGCTTAGTTTTCTGATTTTGCAGAATTTTGCTCAAACTCAAATGAGCAAAAGAAGAACATCCCAGAACAGAATATTTGTAACTCAGAGTTGAACTGTGGGGTCCTTGTCGTTCTCTGAGCTTGGTTGTTTTCTTGTAGACATTTCATTACCAAATTAGGTAATGTCATCAGTGCAAGAAAGGAGTGGGGTTTGCTCTCTTTATATACTAGTGGCTCGCCTGTCAGTGTTGGGAGTGTTCTTGGTAGTTCCTTGGTTAGGCTGTTGTTTATGGTTAGCTTATTTGTCTCAGTTGATAATTCCTTGATTGCGGTGTTGTTTACTTATTGATTATTGGTCTAGTGTTAATCTTGCTGTTAACATCTAGATAAACTCAGATTACTCAACCAATTTATTATAAGTATTTACATAGTAAATTCCCTACATAGCAGTATCTATTGTTTTATGAAGGGAAATAATTGTCCCTAGCTCCATTTCCATCTTACATGCCATATTTTTCTTACCCATAACAGTAACTAGAAAGAAATTCATTCTGCTTCCCTAAATGATTGGCAGAACTTGATCCAACATTAAGGAACTGCTGTCTGTCACATAGCATCCAAAATCAGTTTTGCCTTTCTGTCTGAAAAAGCCTCGCCTCCTTCTGGTAGGGCCAAATGAATGTGGACATTGACGTCAGCCAGCACTGGTAAATGTATGCTCATCATGTTTTGCATGAGAAATTGTCTGGTGGCCTATTTAATAATATCAACATTCCTCATAGCATTCAGCCAACTCTGAGCAAGAGTAAGTGCCTCTCATCAGCCAGCTGCTTAAATCTCTGGCTTTTGGGAGGCACCTTCAATGAAAGATATTCATTAGAGGCACAGGTTCATCAATGAAAACAGTAACACTCCTTTAAAAAATAATATCTCTGGCTTTCAGCCACTTAGTTATTCATATTGCACCTGCCACAGAAGTCAGAGCATTTTGTCTACACACTGGCTGCTTCCCAAAACATATTGAGCAAAGTTATTAGATCTGAAAGCTTTAAACTGAAGGGTCGAAATAGAGCATTAAAAAAAATTGGCTCGGCAAGCCATTATTATGGAACAAATCTGTGACTAGCTGTATAACAGAGTATTTATATTCTTCCTGAGTGTCCATTCCATTAAAAGGACAAGTTGAAATGCCTCACAGGATTCGCTATAGTAGCTTTTCATCTCTGTCTCTATAAAATCCTGTGGCTTACTTAGACCAGCAATGATGTATCCAGATTTAAATGTGAAAAGTACGTCCACATTTTGTATAACACATACTTGGTATGAAATCATTAGATTAAATGAAATTATTATGCATGAAACTCTGCAATATTATATATGAAATTACTAAGATTCAGAGAAGGACCTTTGTGTTTGATATTATTTTTAAAATCTGCAATCCTGTATGAAATGCCAAGGCAATGAAGATAAGAATTGTGAAGTCATTTCTGATTTTGAGAGTTGCCGTGCAGGTAATCCTTACCAGCCATTTTGGCCATCATATTCAAGGCTTCATTCAACAATGTGTTGGCCTCTGTGTGGGCAGTTTGAATTCGGTCACCTTGGATGCCTAAATTTGACCCTTGTCCCATTCGCCTCTTCAGGTCCATGTATTTGCCATTCAATTGTTCAAATACCTGGGGGGAGGGGAGCAGAGAGGTAAATGAGAACTAGTCTTACTTCCAATGGATATATTGTGTAGATAACAGAATTCCCATCACCAAATCTCCAAACCTGAGATCACATGATGTTAGATGGCCTCCTACTTAATCAGTGTTCCATTTATTAAACATCACTTTTCCCTCTTGCCTATTCCTTTTCTTCTTTAAAAAGTGGTAATTCTTTTTCACATCTGATTTCTCCTGGCTGCACAGAACACACCTTCTTTTCACTGTGATATATTCCAGTTTGTCCACTTTGAAGAATTTTCTTTTTCCCTCCCATTCCCAAGCCAAATTCATGCATCTTTTATAGAAAGAGGATAACTACATTGAACAAGTTTTGTTTGTTCTTCAATAGTCAATTGTTTTATTGAATATAACCAAACAAAGCTTGATAAGGCAGATATCCATGTCATTAACCATTTTTATTTGCAAAGTATTCCTATGAGACCTATCATATTCTTCTGGGTATGACTGGAAATAATGAGAAGCCAAAGGCTCTTAATTTCCCTTGCAGCATCCTATCTTTCCTTCTTTTATAATTAAAAGTCTTGGTGGCATATTGTTAT